TCTTTCCTAGCTCCCTGCCAACCCTGCCCATCGGTTGGATGGAGAGGACTGCGACTTTACAAGATTTATTCGCGCACCACCGCCATGGCGCGGGCGAGGTTAGTGAGGAGAGGGCTTCCCTCCGATCCTCCCCATCGCCGGGGCTTCGTCCACTGCAGGAGGCCGCCGAGGTCGTCTCGCGGACTGTGCATTCGGCGATTCACACTGGATATCACCGCGTGCAGGAGGCAATGCGTGAGATGGGGGAAATCCCGATGCTCTCCATTAGCCGGGTGGAAGGGGGCCTGCGGCTTGGTGAGGCGGAGTTGCTCTCAGCCTCTGCCGCAGTCGAGGAATTCACGAACGCGGTTTGGTCTGCCCTTACACAGGTCGAGACGAGAGCCAAGACGCGCCGGTTGCCTTTTATCCCTTCCGCTTTACGCGATTCACGCTCGGCGGTGGAATCCCCCTCAGCGCACCTCCTTGAGCACTACCGCGAACTTTTGCAGTGTTTATCCGCCCGCCTTGCTCAATGCCGTCTGACGGTGACCCTCTGCAAAGAGGAATTGGCGCTTTGCAAAAGCGAGACATTTCTCTTTTCGCGGTGCGGGGTGCTCAGCTCTGAGGATTTCGTTTCTTCGGATGCCGCGAAGACGCCAAATTCCGGTAATATCTCTCGACCTAACGCCGGAAAGGCGGAAAGGAAAGGACAGGGCGAGGGAGTTAGAAGGGATGTCAACGGAATCGAGGGATCACCAAAACTGTGGGAAGGGGGTGATGTCGGTAGCTCTGCGCTGGAGGGCTTTGGGATCGTCCGGAGCGTTTCCAAACACGCAAAGTTCTACATGGATGATATCGTCAAGAAGGCAACCAATACTGTATTGGTTGCGGGGGATAACGTGATTTCGATCGCGCGTACTGGATTAGCCCAAAATTCTTTGGAAGATGCTGATGGAGACCCATTCCGCGGCTGTGGAAGAAATAGTAATAAAAATATTGTTATTAAAGATCAAAAACATTATCGAGATGTTGAGATGAAGGAAGGTTTGGGTGTGTCAAGTTCTTCTGTTATACCACGTTTTCACTACACGAAGGACGAAGAGCAGCGGTTAAAAGATGAGAACGTATTGCTGCTCCACAGGCAGCACGAGAACTCGGCGAGGGATGCGAAGGAAGTGGAGGCTTCTGTGCGAGAGCTTTCACAGCTAACGCTGCTTATGAATGACAAAGTTATGCAGCAGGACGAACAGTTTTCGATATTAGTCAAGAATACGGAGGAAGTTCGTCATTTGATGCAGCGTTCTGTGGAGGAGTTGGTAAAACCCACCAAGGGCTTTTGGAATCCATCCCGACAGCTGATTGCGCTGCTTTGGATCAGCACGATTTTTCTTTTGTTAGCTAATTACTTGGTCCGGTGAGACTTGCAGAGAATATCTCAGACCGTGAATATCACGTGTTTGTTTCATTTATATGGATAACTTTTAAAAGTTTATTGCATCTTTTTTTTCTGATGTGCATATGTGTGTATTTATGAAGTGTTTCTTGTGAGATTTTACTTTATCGCTAATAGACTTAAAGGAAACATTTCTCATAGAGTTTACAATGCAATGGTTAGAATCTATTGTATTTTATGCATTCTTTGCGCTTTTCTTCTGATGCTTGTTTATTTTTCCATATTATTGTAATCACAAAATCAAATTAAAAGGAAACCGATAAAACCAAGGAGCAGACAGTGTAAAAGGAAAGGATCCCTTCTCTCCGACCAGAGGAAACACACAAAACTCATTCACAACTTTATTATATCGATCTATCTAGTATTTTGTTCACCATCACACGCCTTTTTGGCCTGCCTCCACGCGTATCACAACCTTTTCTCCCAATCTGCGCGACGTGGGTGGTGTCACTATTTTTCCGCCTTCCACCTCCCTCTTCTTCACTTCCCAATGCGTTCCTCTTGCCCTTCTTCTTCCTTTTCCCGTCTTGCTGTGGCGTCGTTCCGTTACGTCTTTTCCCACCCCGCCCTCTCCCCTCAGGGCTGTCGCGGGTGCGGCTCGGCCTCGCGCTTCACCAAAGCCACCCCCGGGCCAGCGCGGGTGGTGCCAAAAGGAGGAGGGGGGGGCCTTTCGTCCGGGCTTTCGTTTCCCCCCACCTCAGCCGGGGAGCTCCGCCGCATCCGGGAGGAGCTGCGGCGCAGCCCCAGCGAGGCCCACCGCGTGGCCGTCCTCAGCGAGGTGATCAAGGGAGGAAGGGAGGGGGGAAAGGGTGCTGCGCGGACGCAGTTTTCGTTGTGGAGGATCGCCCGCGCGGCCGATCTCGACATGGCAACGTTTGCGCAGTTCGCCCAACTCCTTGCCCAGCTGCGGGCTCCGCCAGACCTGCCGATGCTCCGCGAAATCGCCGAGTTGTTCGTCTTGCGGGCGGCAGCGGCGTCACCTTCGACGGCCGCCCACCTCCTCCGCGCGTTGATTACTTTGCGGTATGGCGACCTCGAGCGGGTGGTGGAGGCACTCATGCGGGAGAGCCTCCAGCCGAGAATTAACCCCTCCTCCTCTTCACCGCTTTCCGAGGTGGACAAAGAGGGGTTTCCTATTTCCGCGCAGGTTGTGGTGTTGGGAGCCCTTCTTCGGGTGGTTTTAGCGCCAGGCGCGGATGCTTCATTAATGCCGATGGCGAACTTGCTGAGAGAGCGTCTGGAGTGCGCCTCGCTTTACACCCTTCCTCTCTCGGACATCGTGTTTTTGGTGGATTCCGTGGGTGCTTCGATAGCCCTTGGAGAACAGCGAGGCTCCTCGATTTTCTATAAAGGAAAGGCGAATAGCATGTGGGTATCGTTTGCGGTGGGGCTCTGGGCTATCTTGGGTGACTATGATCTTGTGGCTCTCTCATTTATTGATGTGCTCACGATTGCAAAGAATTTTAAGCCCCTGGGGGACTACCGAAATAGTTTTGAAAGCATCATTCCGAAGATCTACAATCGAATACAGAAGCATTTGGAATGCCAATCCGAATCTATTGCTTCTACGGAGGACTCGCTATCGATGGCAGAGATTGAAATTTTAGTTGAACTAGCTGCGGCTAAGAATCCCGCACTTTTAGGATTTGTTCCTCCCGATGACCTTGATGCGCTGCGTGTTCAGGTTTTGAAGCTCCTCGAGACGTACTTTGAAAGGTGTGCGGCAGATTCGGAGGTGTCGGAAGGAGCCGAGATAGTTTTGCTAAATACGGGAGCTCGAATCCTTGAAGTTTTTTTTATTCATTCTTCTCTATCTGATGTTACCTCCCTTCACGATAAGGACGTTGACTTAAAGGAGCATATTCCGGAGTTTCTTTTACAGTTTATGCTGAACGCCGTGCGTAGGGCGACGAATGAGGTTTGCGATCAGGTGCCAATGGCCGTTCATTTGGTTTTGCGCTGCTTTGTGAGCGATCCGCTCTACCGTGTGGAAGTGGAAGCGCTCTCTGCGCGCTACGTTGCGTATCTTACAAAGCGGAGTCGCCAAAACGATGACTCTTTGCTTCACCCCTTTCAACTGACCTGTCTTTTAGTAGACGGTTTGGTTGAGGCTCACGCTCGGGCGCTTTCCCTAATTGTCCGCAATTATTTAGATCGCTGGGGCGTCGACGACGTGTTTTATTTCCTAAAGTACTCCTGTGAGGTTCCCGGCAAGGCCACACGAGGGATCATGCGGGATGCCGCGGAGGTGCTCATCAAATACGTTCCGCGCGCTTCGGCCAATCAAATCGCGTTGTTAATGCGGTATTATGGAAAGGCCGGGGTACGGCATGATAAGTTTTGCGAGGCCGTTTCGGAGAGGCTTCGGGTGTTGGCCGTGGCCGATGCCTTTTCGCTTCGCCAGCTTTCTGACACGTTGGGGGGGTTTGCCCTGGTGGAATATGCGGCCACCGCGCCGTTTGTGAGCGCCGCGCCGCGAGTGTTGGGCCTTCTGGGGAATTCGCTCAACTCTGCAGGGGAGGTAGCCCAACTCCTTGCAGCCTACTCGAAAATGCTGATTTGGAATTTTAAGCTAATTTGGGGGCTGACGGAGAAAATGGTGCAGCTCGCCTCGGACGATGGGGAGGGGCGCGGGGGGGTGAGTTTGGAGCATTTGGTGGCCACCCAGCTCGCCCTGATTCGGATGGACCTTCAGCACCCGAAGCTCACCGGCCAGCTGCTGGAGCGGATTTTTCGAATGTTCCTTGTTGAAGCCCCGGCAACTCGCCCCGAGCTCGGCTATCGCGAGGCCCTGGAGCTGCTATCCGTTCTTTCACGCCTGCCCGAGGGGTTTCTTCGCGAGTCCGTCGACGCCGCCTACCCGCGATTTCCACGCTGTCTGGAGTTTCTTCTGACGACCTTGCGGGGGCATCTCGAGCGGCTCGCGCGGGATGTTGAAGCCGTCGCGGAGGTCCTCTTATCCCTCGCACGCGCAGGCCTCGCCGAGGACGGGCTTTTTCAGGCGCTTTCTCTCCGCGCGATCGAGCAGGTGCCGTCGGCCTCGCCTAGGTCGATGGCCACCCTGGCTAGGGCCCACGCCCTCGCGGGGAAAGCCAACGACGAACTCTTCGCCCTGCTCGCCGATCGCGCAATTTTACACAAAAACCGTATTGCCGCGGCGACAATTGCGGAGCTCCTCGCGGCCTTCGCGGCCGCCGGCGTCCGCCATGATCAACTTTTCATCGAGATGATCGCGCGGGTTCGGCATGTCGGGCTATATGGCACCCCTCGGGACCTGCGGAACGTCGTCCAGGCCTACGCGCGGGTGAATCTATGGCATTATAAACTCTTCGCGAGCCTGGCTGACCGTGCGGTCCAGCTGCGGGCGGAGTTCCGACCCTCCTGCATGGTGGGGATGCTTGAGGCCTACGCGCTGGTGGGGATGCGCTACGAGAAGCTCTTTGTCGAGTTCGCGCGGCGGGTGCAAACGGTCTCGCACCTCTTAAACGCGGCAGATCTGGCCACGGTCGCATTCAGCTATGCCTCTATGAAGATAGGTGTGGAAACGGTGTTTCGTTCCTGTGCCGAGCGAGCGGTTGAAATAGTTGAGCAATTTAACGAGGCGGACGCAATAAAACTCTTCCGTGCGTTCGACGAAGTCGAGTTCGAGCACGAGGCATTCCGCGCTGCATTCGTACCACGGTTTTCTGCCATAATGGAAACATCTCAAGCAACGAATGAACCTGTGAAAGACGACGACGTTTTAGATACGGAAAAAACACCAATAATTAATTTGGAGACGGAAAACAAATAATACAACTCAGGTCGAGAAAGGCTTCATATTATAAACGCATTAATCTGCACAAAGTATAATATTTTGAAGAAAGAGAGAACACAAATGAAATATACAGAATTTTTAGCAATGCAAACTCCTCGGGGAGAATAGTTTATTTCTTTACCAGTATATTTTTTGAAGCTGACAGTAACTATGATTATTCTTTCTTTTTATTGTATGACATTATTATAATTTCTTATAATATTTTCCCTGAATTTGTTTTACAACAATACCCAGTGTTCAACTCTACACATCAATAGCAGAATAGGAATAAACAAGAATCACGAACCTTTGGAAAATATAAGTTAATCATATCTTTGTATATCAGTAAATAAATTTTACACTGCATATCATTAATGAGATTATCAAACAAAACGAAAGTCATTATCTTCGTTACCGGCAATGAGGGAAAGCTGCGAGAAGTGAAACATAGCCTCTCGGAGCTCTCACACATCCGCCTTGAGGCCCTCGGTATCGACCTTCCCGAGCAGCAGGCCCCCACTGCCTCCAAAGTGAGTTTTTTGAAAGCTGTGGAGGCTTTTCACCAGGTCAATAGGTTGGCGTCTGGGAAGCGCCACAACGGCGGTGGCCCCACACCAGTTCTTGTGGAGGATACCTCGCTCGGCTTTGACTTGTTGAATGGCATGCCGGGCCCCTACATCAAGTGGTTTCTGCGCGCACTCGGCAACGCGCGGCTCACACGTCTGGCGGATGGCGTTGACAACCACCAGGATGAACAA